TGATTGACTTAGTCTTCATGTGACTCAGCCAAGATCTTTCATGGGATAGATATTTTCCTTCGTCATAGCTTTGGTTGAGTGGCTAGGATGTTACGGCTCTGAGAAGCGAGGTGCTTATTGGATTTTATGCTTTCATCCGAGGTAGAGACTGGGAGCAAAAGGGGGCAATTATCATTTTCGATTGGTCTTGTTGGGTGTTTAGTTAGTTACATTTGTTTGTGTGTTTGTCTGTTATGTTCTTAAGTCTGTGGTGTGTTTTTGTTTACTTGCCCATATATCCACCCCAAGTTTCCATCTATTATCTCTGATGGTAGGGGTTACTTGGGGACAAAAAGGATATACGGGCAAAGTGGGGTTCTGTTTTTATTCTGTTGTTCTTTCGCTTTTGCGAGTGTGGTTTTATGTTGTATGATGTCCAGTGGTAGTTTTGTGGAGTTTTTTGTTCGTCTATTATTTGTTGTAGGGCACACCTGGGGTATGCCCCTTGTAAACTTGTACATTTTACTGTCTTTATTTTATGACTTACTTACCCAAAAAAATAAGCAGGATGTGCTACAAGATTTCGGATCTTCTTAATTGTTGGCCAAGGGGCCTCTTTCTTGTTGGTAGAATGCCATATATGAAAAAGGGTTACACCCTTCTTTTGATTCTTTAATGATGTAAGCCTTCGGGCATTTTATTCAGTATGCTCATGTTGTATTTACTGTGCATTCGGACGAGAGAATTGTTATTTATTTTTACCCATTGGACTAAAGAGTTTATTTCCGCACGTTATCTCTGAACTTGAAATTAAACTAATGAATTTGGTAATGACTTCGAGTAATAAAAAGTGGGGCGTGACACCAAGTTTGAGGGCCAGTCAAAATGGGGTGTCTACAATATTATGTGAATTCTTTTTTCTTTTTTTCTTTTTTCCTGTGACTAATTTTTACTATTTTTATAACTATTTATAAAATTGAAATATATTGTGCGATTAATTTTTTTAAAACTAATTTTTGTAACTATTTTTAAGTTTGAAACATAAACTATTTGGTTGAATTTTTAAATTTTGTCTTTTATTTTTTTTTAAAAAAAAATAAAAATAGCTTGATAAAAAAATATCATTTTCATTTTCATATGATTCTATCTTTGTTTTTAAGGAAAATAATATTTGTATGATTGAATATTATTTTTATATTAATTGTATAATTTGATTTAATATTTTTACTAGTCTCTACATTTTTTCTTAACAAATAAAATAATATTTTTATTTAAAAATTAATTTTAAAAAAATAATATAAAATATTAGAAATATTTTTGTAATATCTTTTTCATTTATAAATAACTCAGATGTATATATATTTTTTAAAGTACTTTGTAGGGTGCAAGTCCATTATGTGTGGGGGGGTATATGTTCATTATGTGTAGGTGCAAGTTTAGTATGTGTGGTGTCCAAGTTAAACCTATGTAGTGGTGCAAGTCTAGTCTGTGTTAGCATGCAAGTCGAATCTACGTAAGAGTGCAAGTTTAGTCTATGTGGTATGCAAGTCAAATCTTTGTAGTTGCGCAAGTCTAGTCTGTGTTGGCGTGCAAGTCAAATCTATATGGGAGTACAAGCTTAGTCTGTGTAGGGTGCAATTAAATCTATGAAGGGTGCAAGTTGAATTTGTGTAAAGGTGCAAATCTAATCTGTATGGGGCGCATGTTTAAGCCTCGTTTGGGACAGGTTTTTTAGTAAATTTTTGACTTTTTGGAATATCAATGTCATCCCAAACTTGACCTAAATGTGTCTTCCACGATGGGAAATAAAATTTGTTTTCTTTTGACATGTCGCATGGTTAATTTCAACGCAAATCAACTTCAATAATGTGGACACAGAAATACTAGTCCTATGTTGTGGATTTCGTAATTCCTCAACCTCAACTTAATCTTAGAGCATCTCCAATGATTGTTGCTATAATATTATTACTATTGCTATAATTTGGCTATGACAATAAATATTATTATTTTGCCAAATTATAGCAATGTTACTCCAATGGTCATTTGCTATTTTGATAAATTTCAACCAATTTTATCTTCAAGTTTGTAGGTATTGTTCGGATATAGACCAAAGTTAACGAAAAATCATATTTTCCAAAATCATTTCAAATGAAACAATTTATGTTACACTTATGAAACAAAGCAATCAAAAGAACAATGCTAACATGGATACCGTAACAAATATTTTTTAGCTACGTGATCAGTAAAAGAAAACTTTATTGATGAATACATACAAAATATGATAAGATCCTTCAATAAAGAGGAGCTTGGAGCTAGCAGAAGCTCCAACCTTCAGTTGCTAAGAAACCAACAGACAAAGCGAAGCAACAAAACCAACAAACAAAACAGCCAATAGCCACGGCTGAGCACAAACAGATGAGATTCTTCAAAAAATCTACACAACTTTGTATATATTTTTTTAGAGATTGTTTATATGATATTTAATTTTTTTATGTGTATATATATATAATTTATATATCATACTATACATATATGTGTATTTGTCTATACGGTAAAAAAATATTATTTATCTTTTAACCCATGTAGTAATAAAATCCTAATTTCATCTCTGTATAAGAGAGAGAGAGAGAGAGAGAAAGAGAGAGAGTATGTGCAAGGCATATTAATGAGTGTAAGAGTTAAGGGTAAAATCCGTTTAGTTTAATTTTATAATTATGATTTAAATGTGAAATTGTGATTTTAAGTGTGGAGTTATGAGTTGAGTTTTGAAAAAATAAAAATTTGTTTGGTTATGAGTTTTGAAAATATTTTTAAGTTTTTGAATTTTAAATTTTGAAAAGAATTTTGAGTTTTGAAAAGAGTTTTAAATTGTATTTTGAGTTTTAAGTTTTGAATTTTGAGTCGTATTTTGAAATGTTTTGGATTTATTTCTTTTAAATATTTAAAAACGTTTAAGAAAATTTTATTTTTTATTTTAAATATTTTATTTCATTTTTGTAAATATTTTAAATTCAGAACATAACTCCACACTCAAATCAGAAGCAAACACATAATTCAAAAACTATTTTTAAAACTCATAACCAAACACATAATTCAAAATTCAATTAAAAAACTTTTTAATCAAAATATTGTTTTTATTTTATTATTTTTTTTGAAAAATAATTTTTGTTATTTTTTTAAGTATTGGCCAAATAATTTGTTATGGTTTAGATATATATATGGCGAAAAATTATATATTTAAAAAAAATACAGTGCACAATTGTATGAAATATAGTGCACATTAAAAACATACAACTCAAAACTCTTTTCAAAATTCATAATCAAACAAATTTTTCTCTTTTTAAAACTCAACTCAAAATTTGTAATTAAAAATACAACTTTACACTCAAATCATGATTTTAAAAAATAAAATAAAAAAATATCTTTTAAATTTTTTCTTTAAATAAAATTTTGAAAAAGAGTTTGGTTGTGAGTTTTAAAAAGAATTTTGAATTAAATTTTGATTGTACGTTTGATTACACATTTGGAAAAGAATTTTGAATTTTTTTTTATTCGGTAGTATTACATGTACCAATTAGTGTACTAACTAGTACACCAATACTAGTTATGATATTATTATTGACCCCCACTCATTAATAACATTACAAATACTAAAAATATCTTAAATTATGTCACATCATCAATTGGTACATTAATTAATACATATAATATTATTCTTATTTATTAGAATCACAATTCCAAAAGTAAACCACATGCAGCCGAAATCAATACAAAAAATGTCATTTTCTTGTATAATTTTTGTACTCTTTACTGTTGTTAAAAAAAAAATCATTGACTATTAATAACTTTTCTCAAAGTCCACGATTAAGTAATTCTCCCTTATTTTATTAGGTTGTAGTCAGCATTGTTGCCAACGAGTACGAACATATGGGAGGCGCCTAATTGTCTATCAGGATCCTCTAGAGTGGGGTTCTCTGAAGTGAGTGATCCAACAGTTCAAAACAAAACTAACCAAAACGACGTCGTTTAAAAAAAATAATAATAACAATAACAACAACAACAACAAACAGAAATCAACTTTCTAGGTTCGCTTTCACTAGTTCGTAGGAGAGTTTGAGAGAGAGAGAGAGAAGGGACCAGAGCAAGAGAAGGGACAGAGCTCTGATTCTGAGATGAGACTCTACTTTAGTTTAGAAATCTTTTTTATTCAAGTGGATAGTGAGTGGTTCTTGTTCTTGATCTATACACTAGTGCTTCACAAATTAGCCCTTGATGATGATGATGAACATCCCTTGTTCAAGTCAACCATGAAAGACCTTCTGTCGCTGATTTCCTCCGCCAATCTCCATGTCTGTTGATCGGATCTGCTGATTTTGTTGCCCACTTTGATTTTGATAATGATGATGATGACGATGATACAGATCTGAATCAATCTTTGATACTCGCATTATGAAGTCTGTAAATATATATATATGCATATAGAAATACATATCTGAATCAATCTTTTGATGATGATGATGATAAAGATCTGAATCAATTTTATTATCGAATCAATTTAATCTTCTTCGCAGAGTCTGTATATGTATATATATATATATGTATATAGAAATACATATCTAGATCAATCTTTTGATGATGATATAATGATGATACAGATCTGAAACAATCTTATTATTAAATCGATTTAATCTTCTTTTTTATTTATTTAGATCTCATATATCAAAATCCATCATGATGATACAGTTTGAAACTTCTTTCTCATTCTATTCATTTTTTTTCTTTTTTCTTCATTTTTTTTAAATAATTTCTCCTACCAAAATAACATCGTTTTAGCGAGAATTAATCTCAACCTTTCATTCCATTAGTGGGACACGTATCGGACCGACCTCATTCACTCTAAGTGATCACTCTAGAGGATCCCAACCCCAATGCCCTAATTGTTATTCACCCCCAAAAAAAAACGCCCCAATTGTTATCGTTTTGCATCCTCCCAATCCAACAACGGCTATATTCACCACCGCCCCCGCCCCCGCCCAACGGTACATTTCTCTCACAAAAATTGCAACGGAGACAAATGTTCCTCTTAGATCTTTCTATTCTCCTCTCTCCTCATTACGATTTCCTATCGCTCTCTGAAAAGTTTCGGTTAGGGTTTCTCTCTCTCTCTAGAATGGACAGTGGGAGTGAAGGCTTCATCAGATGAACTGCTAAGGAAATTTGCAGAAGGGGGTTCGGGATCCAAAGACAAGGCCACCGCGAAGAAAGAGCTTTCGCAGTTGGCAAAACGACGCCGCTACCACCGGAAAAAAATCACCGGAGAAAATGACGATGATGATGAGCAGTACTGTGAGAGCCCCTCCACCTCCTCCTTAAGCCGCCGGGCCAGTTTGGTTGAGAGGAAATCGCTTCTTCCTGCTGTGGCGGCATCCACCCCACCCGGATGTCGTCTGCGCTGATTCAGCGGCTGGGGATTGGGATTGGGAGGTCACGGCTCAGGTTGAGGGATTTCAAAAACATGTCCATTTTCGCCACAATTGGCAAGGTTAGTAATTTTACATACATAATATGTGCTATATATTTACATATATACATATTAATTGTGCCAAATTTAGTTGTTTGAATTCTCAACTTATATCTCTTTGTGTTATATATTCATTTTTGTGTTCAATTTGGCTTCTAAATTAGACTATTCCAAGGATGAGAATGTTGGAGATGGGGGTTAGTCAGAGGAATGTGAATTCTTAAGTTTTTGCCTTGGAAATTGAATACACGTCCCGAGAGTGCCCTAATTTTCCCTTCCTCCCTTTTCATGCTCAATGATTTTCCTATCTCCTCTAACTTTGCCGAGTCAGAGAATTGGGCATCATTTTTTTCGAACTCTTCAGTCGCACTGTCCTGCCCCTGTTCTTGCTCTGTTTTGTCTCTGATGCACTCTTCATCTGTACCGGAAAAAGTTCAACATAAGAAGATATATATTCCAAGATGCATAAAAAAAATCATCTACTTTGAATACTACCAAATTTTTTATTCTTCTGATAAAAATAATGTTAACTTCCATCTAAAGAAGATTGATTCTGATGCCATTGTTATTGTTGTTTTGCAAGGTATTAGTATAACTTACTTTCATAAGGCAATTACATCAAATTTGAAACTTATCGCATAAATAGATGCATGTATGTATGTGTGACAACATAATGTGATTGATCAAAATAATAATAAAAAATAAAAAATAAATAAAAAAACCCACAAATTAATTAATTTGAAGTTCATTTTATTTTAATATTTGAAACGCGGGAAATGGTGGTTGAAATGGAGTCATCCTCCTTTGAGTCCAAGGAGGTTTCCCATGCTGTTTCTTCAGCGCACTTTTAACCTCCATGAGAATCTCCATTTGTTTTTTCAATGACTCTCCTCTCTCGAGGAACTCTCTCTCTTTTGTCTGGTAAAATTGGTTCATTTTGTTGAGCTAGAGGTCCAAACACGAGAAAAATTGGTTCACTTTGACAGGGCTTCAAAGGTCTTCCTAGAGATGCATTACAACCGGCACAAGCGCTTGATAAATGATATCGCTTAGACCAAGCTATTTCACACTCTGGAAATTTTTATCTGACCTGGGGTGTTGGGAAGGAAAGTTTGGCCCTTGTGCACTACTAGCGTCTAACTTATATTTACTTATTATTGTATATGTATTTTATCACCACAGCAAAATAACTTAGTTGTTTGAATTCTCAACTTATATCCGTAGAATTTGATTCTATTTGTGTTATATATTCATTTTTGTGTTCAATTTGGCTTCTAAATTAAACTATTTAATCTTGGATTAGAAAACTTAGGCTGTCATTGATTTACTAGTACTGGAGGGCCAACATCAATCATTATATTCTCCTATGTGTTGGAGGGCTAACAAGAATTTGAATCAAATGGAAATTGATTGGATGGGATTTTGGTGTGTTGAGAAGTTGATGTGCAAATGCCTAGGACTAGCTCCAACCTTCAAAATCACAATTGAAGAAATAATACCTATTGGGAGCAAATATCAATCATTTTATTCCTCATTTGTGTCTGCTTAGCAAAATCATAGAAGAAATAATAATACATATTGGGAGCAACTAGAATGGAAAGAACCCTCCTTGTGTGATTGCTTAGCAAATTGGGAGCAACTGTGAGTATTTGTGAGTATCTTCCTTCTTGTTGGTAATGCTTTTCTTGATATTGTTATGGACTGAAAAGTTTATTTTAACCTCTAAAATGATGATGACATCTGTTTGGGTAGTTTGTCGTAAGAGACAGCAAATCAAGTTTGGGGAACCTGGAGCGGATGCTTGCCGGAATTGTTTGGGGAACCTGTAGAATATGTATTTATAATTTCTACTATGTTAAATTATTTAATATTCCCTTAGAACTTTCTGAAAGTGCCCGACAGTTGGGTCTTTGGCGAGAACTAATGAATCGTATAACTTGTAACTACTCTTTTTTAGCAATCCATTTATTCAACAATTTATCGAGTGTATGCAAACATGATTCAACCATTGCTTCCTTGCTGGAATATTGATAACTGATGCATATTTGTAAATAATGATGCTGTTGAACAATAATCAATTGTAAGATTCCAAAGCTTTTTCTTGTCCAGTAGTTGGGTTACCCTTGCGCTGGAACCACAAAATACTGCTAATCATTGTCCTGATTAAGTGTTGCTTGATACTTGATATCATTGCCTATACTTTGGTTCAGTTACTAACAAATAGCATCAGTTTCCATCTATTATTGCTGTATCAATTGTAAGATTCCAAAGCTTTTTCTTGTCCAGTAGTTGGGTTACCCTTGCGCTGGAACCACAAAATACTGCTAATAGTCCTGATTAAGTGTTGCTTGATACTTGATATCATCGCCTATACTTTGGTTCAGTTACTAACAAATAGCATCAGTTTCCATCTATTATTGCTGTATAGGTTTTTGCTTTGAGAAAAGTAAAATTATGTTCTATTGATCTGTCTAAATAAAAGTAATTGCACTTTGATTGGTTTGAAATTTCTAGGCATCAATGAAGGTTGTTACAAAGACTGGAGTCTTGATATTCATGCGGCAAGGAAGGTTAGAAAGTTGTTTGTTTCAATTTTTTACATGTTTTTTTTGTGTGTGTGCGCATGCGTGTGTGTGTGGAGAGTACACTCCTTTTTATATTCTCTCAAACTTTTTTCTTTAACTGTTAGATCCTAGGTTTCCTCACTCTATGATTCTTGAAGGTGGAGCCATTCATGTAGATGGAGAAGGTATCGTGTTTTACATTACTAGGAAATTATACATGGCCATGTTTGGCCTCTTTTAATTGATGCATTTATATTTGAAGAACCTTTGGTTGTTTCTCTCGCCAATTCATTCATTCGTACATATATGCCCATGTATAGTTGGCGAAGAGATTGCTTAAATTTTTTATACTGGAGGCTAGTACAAAGTTGATCCCCCTTTCTTTATTCAAGATATTCAAGATGTTAAAAGTGCATAAAGTAGTTTTTAACAAATTCCATTTCTAACCACCTCAGCTGTAATTTGTTAAGTGTTCATAAGCCACTATGAACAAAATGATACGTATACAGAGAAATAGAAGAAGATAATTACCTGCCTTTTTGGTTACGTAGAATTGCACCAGAATTGTGTAATATAGCTGTTCCTTTGTTTTAATAGGCCTTGGTCTTAAAATTCATTTCTTATGAATGAAAAGCTAAGAATCTTTGTAGTAGCATTATTGGACAAACAATTGACGTTGGGCAGGGAGGGATGGAGCAGGAAGGGGTTAATTACCGAGTAATGTAGTGCCTTTTTCTAGCTGCTTATAAAATCACTTTCATTGTCTACGAAGAAATGATATCTCTGTCACTACCACCATAGGTGAATCTGATTTGGAAAAAACACCATGGATAGTTCTTGATACCCTTGGAATTCCCTCAATGTAAGTTGTACTGACACTTCGTGTTAGTACAGTCTAGATGTTGGGATTATAGGGCAACATTGAACTAAAAAAAAGGGATTATTTGGTGATTCATAGATCAGGCTTGAACTTTTTTGGAAACCAATTTTGATTACAATTTTTCTCATTATATTTATGTGAAAAAATACATTTTATTTTTTTTTAAAGAAAAAAGTTTAGGAATAAATACATTTTATGGATCACTTTAGATCATTAAATTTTATGTTTTGGAATGAAGTGTGACATATTTCAAAGCACATGTTCCCAATCTCCAAACCGAAATCTCTAGAATAGTAATATATTATAATCTAATAACACAAGGAATATAAAATCTATTAGGGTGATGCTTGATGATAGCTCACTATTTTTATTATTGAAGGGGCCATAGGAGTTCCTTTCCTTCTTCTCTTCCAATAATGAACCTTCATCAATCCCCTGCTTATTGTTCTTCTTTCTGTAATGATTCTTTAGGTCATATTCTATTTGTGACCATCAACTAATGCATCACTGTATAGTTTGTTTACACAAAACACTTCAAAACTAGATTTCTAGCAGTACCCTTATGATTTTGAATATTGCATATGTCAGATTTGTTCATAAATTGTTTCCTTCCTTCAGGGACTTGTCTTACTACCGAGGAGTGCCTCTTGAATAAAAACAGGAACCCTCATTTGACTAAAGAGCAAGTTGAGGATGAACTTAAAGCATATGTTGGAGTCAAGAAGATTATTTGGTTGCCTCATGGATTATTTGGTACCCATTCACCTTGAATATTAAGCACACATGTATAAATATTTTGCACTGAAATTTGAGATGCCGTTCTTATATATTTCATCCATATTTTTTGGTCTACCTGGCAATCTAGATATTTCTTTAATTTGGTTGGTCTATGTGGCTATTTTTCTCATCAGGATGATGATGAAGCATTCTCATGCTTAAAAATGATGCGTTGGTGTGCAATTATGCATACGAACATGAAATTAATGTTGTATAGAGACTTTAGGCTGAAACTGTAGTTCTAGGATTTGAACTTCAAATAAGAGTTTAACTCTACAATTTTTGGTATCTGCTGCAATTTTTGCATTCTTTAATTTGGTTGGTCTATGTGGCTATTTTTCTCATCAGGATGATGATGAAGCATTCTCATGCTTAAAAATGATGCGTTGGTGTGCAATTATGCATACAAACATGAAATTAATGTTGTATAGAGAGTTTCTGCTGAAATCGTAGTTCTAGGATCTGAACGTCAAATAAAAGTTTAACTCTGCAATTTTTGCATTCTTTGGGTAGGTGTTGTGATGATCAGTAACTTGAATTGCAACCTAGTCCTTTCGAGCAATCGAGAAAGATATAAATCATAGGGCTTTATTTTATTGGAAATTTCAAGCCCAGGCTGCTGCTTATGTTATATGGTATGAAAAGTTGTGTGTTTTGATGTTGATACCTAGAACTTAGAAGGGATACAAAATTCTGAAGTTAAATATAGACAAACCTGATATTTTCGTTTCCCTTGTATCTTGCGATATATGATACCTGTTGTTCATATCTTGCCATTCAGCAAGTTAATATTTTTGAGGTATGTATAATGAATATGTCAATACCTTAAGCATTTTTCTGGTGTTAACTTGACTTTTGTTTATCTATAAGCTGTCTTCAAATTTCCAAAGGTATATAATGTACATAATTTTGCCTTTAAATATGTTTTAATATATAATTTTTTTTTTTTTTTTTTTTCTTTTTTTTTTCTTTTCTGTATTTTGTGCATTTATTGTATATAAGATTTCTGCTTTGCGTTTAGAAGGAAAAATATTGACAAAAAAATGATGGTTATTTATATATTTTGCAAAGGAAATGCAGTAAGGAACGAGAGGAATTGCTATATGGACACTGCAGTCTTGAGAGATTTTGGGCTTGTTGGAAAACTCCTCCATTCTAAAAATCCTTAGAACAAATACAACAAAATCTAGCACTGCTTTAGTGGGAGAATGACTTAACTCCTTTGTGATTTTGGTTTTGAAAGTTTTGAAATTAGTTAGGGGTTGTGGACAACAGTGAGAGGCGAAGGAATAGAGTTGGTAAGACGATTGTGACTACATATTTAGGATGGACCATCATACCGATACTTTATGAATCCTGCTAATATATGTTTCCTAGTTGCAGTTCAGAAATAGATGAAACAGAAAGATGTAATTCTGGTACCCCATTATTTGACCCTTGGTGTATCCAAGATAGCATGCTTTGAGAGTAAAAACTTTGTGCAAGGAAATGAAGTTTCCCTATCTATTGCGACTACATATTTATCTTCGTACTGTGCCTTCTGAATCCTCATCATCTTATCTATTTTCCTATGAGGATATGGGATCAATAATCTTGATTTTGACATTAATGTGTACTAATTTGGCGTCGTTTTTAATAAAAGTTTGTACATAGAAGTTGCTAGAGTTACTTTCTCCAACATGTTTGTGCTTTTTGCTGCCTCATCGTTGAAGCTTTTCCTATTGATTACTAAGAGGAAAAAATAAAAAGACCAAAGTTTAAACAATATATTTTTATTGAACCAAGGCCTTTAACATGGTGTTTTGCAGGTGATGATGATATTAATGGTCATATCGACAACTTGTGCTGTTTTGTGAAGCCTGGTGCGGTTTTGTTGTCCTGGACTAATGATGAATCAGATCCTCAGTATGAGCGATCTGTGGAAGCCTTTTCTGTTCTCTCTCATGTTACTGACGCTAAAGGTAGAAAACTAGAAATTATTAAACTCCATGTACCTGGGCCACTTTACATGACAGATGAAGAGGCAACAGGACTAATTCAGGTAAACATGATTCTTAGAATTTTACTGTCACAACTCTGTATCCGTTCTGGCTACTCTTTATCCACTAATTGAAAAGTAAATTTACATTTTTTGAGATGTTATGCTCATGTTTACTGAACAATACTGATGGAGATCAAAATTTACTAGTTTTAGGAATGTCAATCTGCAGAACTTGAGGTCAATTTTCCTCCAACAAGAGGGGAATAACGTAATCTGACCCACGAGAAGATGATAAATTGATTACTAGTGTTAAGTACTTTGTCTTTGATTTAATATTTTTATATTTTCTTTCTTTTAGGACTTTTAATGGCTTTAGTGATAAGACTTGAGTCTTTTTAGGTATCTATGTTGGGTAGGAATTAGGATTGGTTTGTAAAAGTTTCCACACATCTTCATGATTATCTACAGACTACACAACGTATAAATAGGCTCTATTGTTGTAAAACGAATTTGGCATCACTTGCATAAATAAAATTAGATTTGATTGATGGATCTCTCTCCCTCTCTGTGTTGCTGTTGCTTTTTCATCCTTAATCTCTCTCTCTTCTTAGGTGGTGGTTCTCCTCTCTCTCGTCTTTACCTCCCTCTCTCTTCTTCACTCTTCATTTTCCCCTCTTCTCTTATATCTCCACTTTAAATATATATTTATATTCTGTCTTATTCATTGTCTTTGACTTTCTTGCTATCTTTTCTCTCTTCATTATATCCTTCTTCTATTTTATCTCATTGTTCTTCTCGTCTCCTGTCTTATCTTATTCTTCTACTCTCTTTCATCTTTCTCATCTCCATCTTGTAATATGAAAAAACAAAAAACATCATATTATTTTGCCAATCACGTGTTCGAAGAAATTCTCATGAAGGCCATGCTACTTTATGTGTGTCTGTATGTATATGTATGTGCACACATACTCATGCAAGTAAATATCAAGAATTAAGGTGTCTACATGAGTTTTTGTCTCCTTTACAATATATATACTCTTTCACGTAAGCCGATATGTTGACTCTTGACAAAAAAGGAGACATTGTAAATTTTGTAAATTTAGTACCTCTCTGAGAATGCGTGTATGCGATTGTCTCCTGTTGTCCTGATGTTTATTTCCTGCTTTATTTTATGTGTTCTATTAATCATGTGAGACGTAAATCAAATACATTCGGGTTCCCAGTTTGGGAGACAGAGCCAGATTTCACTCTAAGCAAACTAGTTCCTTAAAAAACTTGAATTCGAGGTGTTGACGCCCCAAAATCACCAAACGAGGTCGGATTAGCACGAAACTTGGCACACACGACCGCCTAGGCATGAGAGACTTGTAGGAGAAGACGGGGCTCGAATCAGGTTCTCGGTTTGGGAGTTAGAGCCGGATTTCAATCTAGGCAAACTAGTTCCTTAAGAAATTTGAATTTGAGGTGTTGATGCCCCAAAATTACCAAACGACGTCGGTTTGGAATTGCCGCAAATGCCACAAAAACAAGATGAGGTATTTTGTGTTGTTTATACGGGACTCCCGGTTTGAAAACTAAGTCCAAAAAGGTACTTTTCTTATACTTAATCTTGAAAATAGGCCATCGGGGGCCAAAATTGTGTAACAGTCACGAGAAGTCCCGGGAAAAACATCAAACACCTCCGGCAGGTCTAATATAAGTTGTGGAAACTTACGGAACTTGCACAAGACTTCCGGTTTGAAAACTTAGTCGAAAAGGGCACTTTTGTCACACTAAAGCTTGAAAATAGGCCGTTGGGGGCCAAAATCATGTAACAATCACGAGAAAGCCTGGGGAACACCTCAAACATCTCGGGAAGGACCAATTCAAGTTGTGGAAACTTACGGAACTACCACGGGACTCGCGATTTGAAAACTAAGTAAAAAAATGTACTTTTTGAATACATAAAATTGAAAATAGGCTATCGGAGGCCAAAGTCGTGTAACAGTCACGAGAAGGCCCGGGGAACACCTCTAACACCTCGGGAGGGACCAATGTAAGTTATGTACACTTACGGAACTAGCAAGGGACTCCCGATTTGAAAATTATGTCAAAAAAATGCACCTTTTTAACACTTAAGCTTGAAAATAGGCCATTGGGGGCCAAAATCGTGTTACAGTCTCGAGAAGGCCCGGGGAACACCTCCAACATTTCGGGAGAGACTAACGTAAGTTGTGGAAACGTACGGAACTGGGACGGGACTTCCGGTTTGAAAGTTAAGTCAAAAAAGGCACTTCATTCACCCTTAAGCTTGAAAATAGGCCATCGGGGCGCCAAAAATGTCAAATAGTCACGAGAAGGCTGGGGGAACGACTCAAAAACCTCAGGAGGGTCCAATGTATGTTGTGGAAACTTACAGAACTAGCACGGGACTTCCAGTTTGAAAACTAAGTCAAAAAATGCACTTTTTTAACACTTAAGCTTGAAAATAGGCCATTGGGGGCCAAAATCGTGTAACAGTCATGAGAAGGCCCGGGGAACACCTCAAATCCCTCGGAGGGGACCAATGTAAGTTTTGAAAACTTACGGAACTAGCATGGGACTCCCGGTTTGAAAACTAAGTCCAAAAAGGCACTTTTTTACACTTAAGCTTGAAAACAGGCCATCGGGGGCCAAAATCGTGTAACAGTCACGAGAACTTCCAGGGAACACATCAAACACCTCTGTATGGACCAATGTAAGTTGTGGAAAATTACGGAACTAGTACGGGACTTCCGGTTTGAAAACTAAGTCGAAAAATGCACTTTTTTCACACTTAAACTTGAAAATAAGCCATCCGAGGCCAGAATCATGTAACAGTAACGAGAAGGATTGGAGAACACCTCAAACACCTCGGGAGGTACCAATGTAAGTTGTGGAAACTTAACGAAACTAGCACGGGACTCCCGGTTTGAAAACTATGTCAAAAAATGTACTTTTCTAACACTTATGCTTGGAAATATAGGCCTTCGGGGGCCAAGATCGTGTAACAATCCCGAGAAGATCCGGGGAACACCTCTTACACCTCCGGAGGGACCAACGTAAGTTTTGGAAACGTACGGAACTAGCATGGGACTTCTGGTTTGAAAACTAAGTCGAAAAAGACACTTTATTCACACTTAAGCTTGAAAATAGGCCATCGAGGGCCAAAAACGTCTAACAGTCACGAGAAGGCCTAGAAAACACCTCGGGGGTGACCAATGTAAGTTGTGGAAACGTACGGAACTATCGCGGGATTTCTGGTTTTAAAACTAAGTCGAAAAATGTACTTTTTGAACACTTAAACTTGAAAATAGGACATCGCGGGCCAAAATCATGTAACATTTACGAGAATGCCCGAAGAACACCTCCAACACCTCGGCAGGGACCAATGTAAGTTTTCAAAACTTACGGAACTAGCACGGGACTTCCGGTTTGAATACAAAGTCGAAAAAGGCACTTTTTTCACACTTAAGGTTGAAAATAGGCCATCGGGGGCCAAAATCGTGTAACAGTCACGAGAAGGCCCGAGGAAAACATCAAACACCTCAGGAAGGAAAAATGTAAGTTGTTGAAACTTACGGAAGTTGCACGGGACTCTCGGTGTGAAAACTAAGTCAAAAAATACAGTTTTCAAACACTTAAGCTTAAAAATATGTCATCGGGGGCCAAAATCGTGTAACAGTTACGAGAAGGCCTGGGGAACACCTCCAACACCTCGAGAGGGACCAACGTAAGTTATGGAAACTTATGGAACTAGCACGGGAATTCTGCTATGAAAACTAAGTCGAAAAAGCACTTTTTTCGCATTTAAGCTTGAAAATAGGCCATTGGGAGACAAAATCGTGTAAAAGTTATGAGAAGGCCCGGGGAATGTCTCAAACACCTCGGGAGGGACCAATGTAAATTGTGGAAACTTACGGAAGTAGCACAGGACTCCCAGTTTTAAAACTAAGTAAAAAAATGCACTTTTTTCAGACTTAAGCTTGAAAATAGGCCATCGGGTGCCAAAATCGTGTAACAGTCATGGGATGGCCCGGGAAACACCTCAAACACCTCGGGAGGGACTAATGTAACTTTCGGAAACACAGAACTAGCACGAGACTCCCGGTTTGAAAACTAAGTCCAAAAAGGTACTTTTTTCTCACACTTAATCTTGAAAATAGGCCATCGCGAGCCAAAATTGTTTACAGTCACGAGAAGGCGCGGGGACCACATCAAACACCTCTAGAGGGTCCAATGTAAGTTGTGAAAACTTACGAAACTTGCACGAGGCTTCCGGTTTGAAAACTTAGTCGAAAAAGGCACTTTTATCATACTTAAGCTTGAAAATAGGCCGTTAGGGGGCCAAAATCGTGTAACCGTCACGGGAAGGCTCGGGGAATACCTCAAACATTTCGGGAGGGACCAATTCAAGTTGTGGAAACTTACGGAACTATCACGGGACTCACGGTTTGAAAACTAAGTCAAAAAATGCACTTTTCGAACTGAAAATAGGCCATCGATGGCCAAAATCGTGTAACAGTCACAAGAAGGCCTGGGGAACACCTCGAACAAATTGGGAGGGACCAACGTAATTTATAAAAACTTAAGAACTAGCACGGAACTCTCGGTTTGAAAATAAAGTTCAAAAAGGCACTTTTCTCACACGTAAGCTTAAAAATCGGCTATCGGGAGCCAAAATCGTGTAACAGTCACGAGAAGGTCCGGGGAACACATCAAACACCTCAGAAGGGACCAATGTAAGTTATGGAATCTTACGGAACTAGCACGGGACTTTTCGGTTTGAAAATTAAGTCGAAAAAGACACTTTCTTCACACTTAAGCTTGAAAATAGGCCGTCGGGGGGCCAAAATCGTGTAACAGTCACGAGAAGTCCCGGGGAACACCTCAAACATCTCGATAGAGACCAATTTAAGTTGAAGAAACTTACGGAACTAGCACGGGACTCCCGGTTTGAAAACTACGTAAAAAAATGCACTTTTCAAAAACTTAAGCTTGAAAATAGGCCATCGGAGCCCAAAATCGTGTAACAGTCACAAGAAGAGCTGGGGAACACCTTAAACACCTCGGGAGGGAAATGTGTAAGTTGTGGAAACTTATGGAATTAGCACGGGACTCGTAATTTGAAAACTAAGTCGAAAAAAGCACTTTTTTCACACTTAAGCTTAAAAATAGGCCATCAGGGGGCCAAAATCGTGTAACAGTCATGAGAAGGACCAGGGAACGCCTTAAATACCTAGGGAGGATCCAATG